CAACTCAAACTGAAACAGACTGAAACTTAGAATCGGTTCAGTTGAAACTAACCTGTCCTTTATTTTTGACAATAACTTTCAAAACTTGTTTGGTTTTATTCTTTTTTTTATAGAATCATCAAGTTTGAGTCATTTTATATTAATATTTTTTAATATTTTGTTGCTTGTCTTTGTGTTGTTTATGCAGATTTGCTATAGAGTAAAAACAGGTTTTATCTTGTTCTGGTCCAACTTTTCCCATCCTGTTCTCTCCTCCTGCAGCTTGTTTTAATGACCACTGAACTGTAACTGTTAGTAACTGGTTGRATCTGGTTCTTTTATTTTCTCTCACGTAAATCACGAGCATCACCTCCGAAACAGTTTTAATAGTTTCCTTTAACACTCAGAGGAAAATCGAAATACTGCTTGTGTCAGGAAGGACGCACTCAGCTGGTGATAATTGYTGATCTTCTCTGACAAACTCCAAGAAAAGTTTGTTTTGTTTCTTAAATAAAATCAATCTGACGTTAAATCTGTTTCTGCTTCAGTTCTGTGCTGCTCAGGGTCATGTTTTCAGGGTTTTATCTATTAAAAACCAGGAGAAAAGGGTCAGAAATCTTCATTCAAACTTCACCAACTTTCTCTTCAGAGTCATCTGCTTTGCAAAGCAAACATCCTGATGCTTGTTCTCACCTGTCCTGATRTCAGCGCAGCGTTAGTGTTGTATAATCATAAAAACGTGTCTCTGCTTTTAAATGATTATTTTCATGCAGCCTGCAGCTTTGTGGTTAGAATCAAAGAGTTTGTTTGGATAACGACTCTGTCAGAACTTGTTTTGTTTTTCCCAGACAGGCCCTCAAGTTGTCTTTCACTGGAAGAGTCAAAAGTTTAATAGTGAAACTAAAGATCTCGACTTGTTTCTGCTCCCACTTTCTCTCACAAAGCAGCTGTTTATTAAATGTGTGATTCCTTCAGGGCAACAGAAAGTCTGAGCTTCTGTCTGGACAAATGCCAGGATGTTGGTAAACCCTTAATGATAAAATGTTTAAAACAGGAAGCCAGTGGGCAGATTTTAATGAAACTCTCAAAACATATTTTTTAAGTTGACATCAACAACTGATTTATTCAATCAATCAATCAACTTTATTTCTATGACACATTTTAAAAAACCGCAGGGGTAACCAAAGTGTGTTACAMTAAGACAAAAATAAGTTGAACACTTACAACAAACACCAGGTTCACATCATGTGTCTTACAAGACGAGATCACAGTAGGATAAAGCCAAAGAATAAAAGCGTGTTTTTAAATGAGATTTAAAAACAGGAAGAGASGAGGTCTGTCTGACACTCAGGGGTAAATTGTTCCTGATAACAGCAACAGCAAATGAGCTTCAGCCTGTAGTTTCAGGGACAATCAGCAGCAACCGATAGCTGATCTGAAGGATCGGGGTGGGCAGTCGGGCCGAAGTAGCTCACATAAAAATGGTGGAGCGAGGTTGTTTAAACATTTAAAAACAACTAACAAAATGAATTCTGTAGTGCRCAGGGAGCCAGAGAAGGGACGCGTGRTGTGTTCGAACCTACAGGTCTGAGTTAACAGGCGAGCAGCAGAGGTCTGCACAAGCTGCAGGTGGAAAAGAGAGGTCTGAGTAACGCCTGCATACAGTGAGTTACAGTAAAGATACGCTGTGAGAAAAGTGTGGATTAATTGTTCCAAGTCAGATCTTGCTAAGATTGCTGGTATTTTTGGCGAAGCTGATGAAAAACCTTTCTGCACAACACTGCTGATCTGTTTCTCAAATTTAAAATCAGATTCAAACTTCAGCCCCACATTGGTGACACAGTCCCTGAGATAAAGACAGTGGGCCAAGAGCTATGTTGGGTGAGGGACAGCAGCTTGACCCAAACAACATGACTTCTGTCTTCTCATTTAGACTAAGGAAGTTGAGAAAATCATGCTTTGATGTCATTAAGGCAGTGTGTGTCTTGGACTGTGTTGTTTTGTGCCAAGGGAAAATAGATCTGACCATCATCAGCATAACAATGAAATAAAAAAACCCACGCTTCCTAAAAACAGAGCCAAGGGGGAGTAGGTAGAGGGCAATTAAAAGAGGGCCGAGGATTGACCCCTGGGGCACCCCRTCTGRAAGTGGAGCTATGGAAGACATAATCAATTTTTACACAAAAACTCCTATTAGACAGGTAGGACYGAAACCAGTAGGGTGACCCCCTCCTAACGCCCACACAGTGCTTGAGACGACAGGTTACTACTGTGATCCACAGTGTTGAATGCAGTGGACAAWTCTAAAAACTCCAAAACAACAAACTTTCCAGAGTCTGTTGACAAARATGTAYAATTTAAAACCCTTGAAAGTGCACTGTCAAAGGATGGGGGAAAACAGCTGTTTATTCAAACAAAGAGAGAAGTGCAACACCACGAATATCTTTTTAATATTCCCTCCAATCAAAATATAAAATACTTGTTTGTGTAAAACTTCTCTGCTCTGATCTAGAAGTACTGTGATTATTTGTTAATGTGGATAAAATATTAAAGTTTAAATGTCACATCATCTACACTTCATAACGTAAAAGATTTATAATGTTATGAAAAAAATCATCAACAGATGTCTTTTGTAGGAAACTTCCAGCCTCTCATCAGTCCACAGGTCCATCATCTGCCTCTCTGATGGTATGGGGGTGCATTAGTACATCTGAAAAATAAAATGTCAGTAAAACACAGGAAGCTTTTAGAAAACATCTGCTCCCACCCAGCAATGAAAAATCCAGCAAAAAATAAAAATAAAGAACCAGATGAGATCCCCTCCAAGTTCTTTATTTTAACAGAMGTGATAGCTCTTTTGTGAATAAAATATGGTTGAAATTTGTTGCATTTTATTTTTTTCGACATGTTACAGAAAGTGCTAGCCTGGTGAGAACCATACCTTGTCCTTCTCTTTCCTGAAGGAAATGAGAATTGAGCAGAGCTGCGYAGGAAGRTAAKGGCCAGGCTAAGAAAGTGCCAACATGTGGGCTGTAACCCTGTTTCAGACAGTTCTGCTTCTGTTCCTGTAAATTAAACCTCCCCTCCTGATAGACATGTTGTGTCTTCCTGCTTTTATCTTCTGATGATCGCAGAATGTCTCTTTAAGGTGTTTTTTTTTTTTGTCATAAAAGGCACTAAAACACAACCTGGGYGTCGCTGTTGTCTTTTATTTTCTTCCCTGACCAGATCTGATGAGATGCTCAGTCAGATTAAAGAGAGCCGCTGCTGTTCTGATGTTTCTTGTTTCATGCTGATTCTGTTTTGAAGCCTTTGCACCGGAAATGCGTTTATTAAGATGAAACCGAAACTAACGGGACGTTTATATGAGGAGTGCAGGCAGAGAGCGCTCACACTGAGGTGATGGAGAAGATGAACTTGGAGAAGATGAAGCTCCTTCCTCTGATGTGTCTTTTTGTCCTGATGTGGACAGAACAAACGTTTGCAGACGGTAGGCTATTTATTTTGTTCATTTTTTTTAAATATAATAATACATACATATTTATTTTTTTTTATTTTTTATTTTTTTCTTATTTCTTATTTTTTTTATTATATATCTTTTTGAAAGGTTGTGTTTGATCCAATAATTGGGCCAAATTAAAAGTCATTCCTGCTGCGTCTCATGAACCGTTACTTCGAGCTCAGCTGTTTCAGGMAGGGCGTCCTGTCAGACAAATGTTTGTTCTGGTGATGAGCAGCCGAAAGAAAAAATAATATAAAAATAGATATAATTCTTTTGAAAAACTGCTCAAGATTTTAAAGGCAGGTAGATGAGCTAACCAAAGCATCGGGACTTGTTGTATAAGTTTAAGAAAAATAAATCTCTTGAACTGGAGCAGCTTAATCATCCAGCAACCAGAAATTTTAAATTTAATTATTATTATTTTTTTTCATTCTTTGCCTGGGGTTATTTTGTTACTGCCTGTAATTCAGAGATGTTTTATTGTTGCGTCATTTTCTGCAGCAGCAGCAGGGAGGAGCACAGAATATGGCAGGCCATTTTAACATATAATCAAATTCACGTTACTTACATTCCAGATARATGAAACTGGTTTGTGACCAGTTATATCCCTATAATTACATTCTGACTAGTATGAATACGAGAGATTTACTATTGAGTTGTATGAGGGCTCCAGTGATATCTTGTTTTTGTTCTGGCTAGTCACAATAACTAAAGATATGTTAAATGAATTTGGAGATATGACATATAAACATTTAACCAACGCAAATTAAATTACAAATATTTTGAAATCAAATAATGACCCGGCAAAACTAACTTTGATGATGGTTTTTAAATAGATATTAATTGTTGCTATTCCTACTTTTGTGGTCTGATTTGACTGGGTGTGGTTTTTCATATAAGCCCATCCTGGCTTCTACCACTTCCGTGCACATGAAATGTTTTTTTTAATATAAATAATTGTTGTATTCAACAGTTTTTTTATTCAAGTGTTAAAAAAATCAAATCAAAACTTAGAGATATCCACGACTAAGATATRCAAATGAATCCTGAATGTGTGGAATATTTTTTCATCTAGATGGCTTTTCTATTTCAGATACTTTATTCTGACTAATCAAAACATCACAGGTTGTAGCATTTTGGCAACAAGTTTATAAGGCATTTTAGCCTTACTAAAAACTACCCTAATTTACTGTTCAGTGGTCTGCAGTGTCGTCCAACTCTAATTCTCATGTTTTTAACAGGATTTTTAGCTTCAGCTTAACAGAYGGATGATTTGGTGTCTGTCATCGCAGCTATGCAAAAATCTGCAGCAAGGGGGCTTACACACAATTTCTTAATTGAAATCGCTAAAAATGTAATTTTGACTAAAGTCGTAATTCCTTTTAAGATATCTTGACTAGTCAGAATTTAAATACAGATATGTTAAATTACCATTCAGAATGTCCCTTGTCAAAACTTATTTTTAGAAATCTAGAATGTAATCACAGTCAGGTGAAGCTGATTTCATGTTAAAATGGCTGCCATATTGATTTGATTGATTTGATTTATTGATTAAACAGGAAAAGATTATTAAAAATCAAGCCTGATTCAGCATAATTGCTGTTTTACAGCAGGTTCCTGTTCTGCAGCACATAAAACACTCAGAAATACAACATCACAATCACATTATTATACACCATAGACTCAAAGACAAACAAGCATATCAATTAATTAAGACACAGTTAAATTATTAACTGTGTCTTACTTTCTGTTTGGCAGAATCTCCTGCAGAAACACAGATAGTGCTGGTCACTGATTAACTTTATGCCATTATAGTAAAACAGATTATAATCTGACCTATTACTTTTAAATTATAGCTGTATAATGCAGGGYAGAGGTTCATCAGTCTGAAAACAACTCAACTCAGAACAATTTCAGAATAAAGTTCCTCAATGGAAAACAAACTGGGCAGGCTTTAAAATGTTATAATCAACAGTTCATAAACTGGTAAAAAGGTTTTAAGAATCTGTGGAAGTCTCAAAGGAACAACAAGACTGACAGTCAGTATGGTCATGATCTTGGGGCCCTCTGGGTTAAAACAGGTTTGATTTTGTTCTGGATGTCAGCGCTTGGGCTCAGGAACAMTTCTACAAATCAACGGGCCTCATGCAAGAACCGTTCGTTTAAACAGATTTGTTCTSAAGTTCTGCAGATGAGTGATTTAGGAGAATTTGTCATATTCACCAATTTTCTCGTATTCGAAGATGTTTTTCAGATATGAAGAAAATTCCCATGTGGTCCAGACCTGTCGTATATTTTATCTGCAGTCAGTCTGCTGTTATCCAGATGGATTTATTCACTAATAACTTTATATTTCATTAGTTTGAGAGTTTAAAATAAATCACACTCCATAATTATGTTGACAAGAGGCTGTTCTGTGTGAATTAGAATTATAATTTTAAATGTAATAATTTAGACTAACGACATGAATTGGTTAAATTAAATTAAATTGGCTATTAATGCTGTTGTGTAGCACTACAATATTAATATGAAGATCTCAAACTACAAACCAACTTAAATTATGCAATAATTGAAGTTTGGAGACATTTTAAAATGCTTTTTTTCCCCAGAAACACATCTGACACGTGCAACAGCTGGGTGGGGTATGCACGACTGCTCTTCTGAATAAATGAAACCAATGTAACACAATTGTTTGCACTTAAATTTAAAATATTTGACCAAAGAAAACCCAGAGATTTAGATTTTTATTTCTGTGACTGTAAATGAGACATTACATTAACAGCAGTCATTTCATTCCTCGGCTTTAGCAGGTCTGACGCTGCTAAAAATGACAGATTTTCTTTTCTGGATCTCTGAGAGCAGAACTTCAGTCTCCAAACTCGTAAAGTTCTTTTTTTACTTTACGATGTCATTTATGAATGGTAGCTTCCTGGTATGTGGGGCAGGAAACGTATATCCTTATATGGTGTTTTTAGGGTGATAATTATGCTAATCACCTCTCCCCGTGCACGAGCACCTGATACACATTCATCAGTTTACGCTGCTCATGTACACACTTTTCCTGAAGATAGAAGAGTTTGTTGCATCTGACAGTGGTGGGCAGCACTAATCTAAAAATTAATTCCACTATCTCTAAAACACTAACTCAAATATTTAGGTCCCCTAATTCTAAAGCCCTAACACACTGAATGTTTTAGTAAAAGCTAATTCTAAAGCACTAAAATAACCCAGTCAACCCATGAACATTCTTCAACAGACAACATGAGTCACATGTTGTCATGTTGCTCTCTCAAGACTTATCATTGACWTTCCACAGCTGGATTTGAGTTCATATATTGTCACCTAGTAGATAATGTGAGACAGCTTTCACCCTCAGCTGTGAACATTAATGTTGATCAATAACATTTATAGACCTCAGTTAGTGCTTCTAAATTTAGCCTATAAATTTAGCAAGTGCTAATCCACTAATAHATTTTAAAATTAGCAAAAGCCCTAAAGCACGAATCAGGAAATTAGTTCCCCTATTAATGCTTTAGTGCATTAGGGGAACTGTGTCCACCACTGGAATCTGACGTGACATGTTCGTACGAACCCTTCAYACRAACGAAAGTAAGAGAAATTTAGGATAAGAATACGAACATGTTCGTGCATGAGGCCCACTATCTTTAAACTCAGCTCACTGGGTCAACCAGTAAAACCTCTGAAGATAAACATTTGCTTTTGCTCCTGTTAGTGAGGTGTTGGGCAATAATCCCTTCTTATTTTGTTTCCTAAAAGGTAGAACAAAAAAGTTTTATGTAGAAGTTGTTTTTATTAAAAACTCTAATGAAGATAGAGCTGAACCAAAAATGAAAAAGTCCTCGTTTCTTCTGTGCTTCATATCAAATGGAATCAAATCCAACCATGTTTTGCYGATTTTTTAAGATGTTTCACAAACAGCTGCCTTGGAATTGACGTTCCTTCACTAAAACATGTTTCTTATCTTTCAGGTACACTCAAGGTGAAAGAAGATGAAGTAGTCGTTTTGAATTGTTCTTTTGATAACACTGACATGACAAACAAGAAATTTGATTGGAAAAAAGATGGCGAGGATTTCTACTTTTATGAAAATGGCACGGATGTAAAAGTAGCTTCAAATATCAAACCTAGAGTTACTCATTTCCAAGAATCTCTAAAATCTGGAAACGTTTCCATACGTATCAAACCTGTGACGGTGCAAGACAGTGGAACTTACACCTGTATATATCCTGATCCAAAAAAAAAAAAAACATATGCAACAATTCAACTTGAAGTTGGTGAGTGAAACATTTAAATAGATTTATTCACAGAAGAGGCAAGTTCATGTGTCCCAGATGTATTTAAGAACAAACAGGTGAACATTTCAAACATGGAAGAAGAGCTGTCTCATTGACAAACTCAAATTACTTTCAGCTATAAACCATACATTAACTATTTTATTCTGCAATTTTCCAAAACATTTAAAAAGAACCAGAAGTGAAAGCTTGTGAATGTGCAAAATAAAAACCTAAAATAGTCCTAGTTTTTGTGTACTACAGCTACTATTTACTAGTTATTTTAAGAGCTTAGTGTTGAAAACATATTTTTGGAGCTTCTGCTTTATTGCTTGTTTTCTGTTTATTACAGATCTGTCAAGCTTTCTTTTATTTATTTTATTTTCCTTTACCTCAGCCTCACCTCATCTCAGCCACAAAATGTTTCTGCCGCCACTGCCTCSTCTGCTTCCCTGTTTGCCTCATCGTACCAACTGCTTTTCAGTTACACCAATGAATTTGTCTAATTCTTTAGATTGTTTTGCCTTACATTTTTAGCCTTGCAGTGTCATTCACACATTATAAAAACAAAACAAATCAAAAGAATATTAATAACATAAATTTAGATTTTTTTTCCTTAAAAAAGTATTTTATAGTGCTTTTGCCTAGACCATCTGTTTATGGTAAACAACACTGCAACCCTTCAGTTAGCTTAGCTTAGCAAYACTACAGAAAACCATTCTGTATCAGGAAACAGTCTGTTCTGGTCTAGAATCAGCTCAGCATTTTGCACATTTTCTCTCTTTTATATTTTCACATTCACATGTTTTTCTGACTGAATATAATCCATCAGGACTGCCATAAACCAGTTTCTTCTGTGTAATGTGTTTTTAATAACAGTATTTGACTGTTTTCTGTGTTTTATCAGCATAATATTGACTTTTCTTTACTTTTATTTTCTTTTTATATTTTATATACATTTTTTTTTTATTTTCCATCAAAATGCTAAAATCATAGAACAACTGTCTAACACAGTTTTGTTTTAACTTTCAGATTGTATCTTAAAGGACAGAACAAGCGATAAAATCAATGGTGAGTATTACTGACGTCACCCATAATCACATGCATGCGCAGTTTATAACCTCTAAAAAATGTTTAAACTACCATCCATTCATCTAAACATTTAATAGTTTTTAAAAATGTAGATCACAGTTTCTCCAAGGTCTGGACTGTGGGACAAATAAACTCAAAATGTTAAAAATTTTAAATAAAACGATTGTGACCTATTTTCCCATAATGGTTAGAAAAAAACACTTCTGTTAAATTGTAATTTAAATTTGACTCCATTTATGTCATTATGCTCTTTTTTATTAGTTGTTTTTCTGTTTTTGTATAATTTATAAAAACCATGAGGTCAATAGTTTTTCTGTGTTATCATGTAGGTCAAAGATGAAAAGTTTGGGAAACACTGTTGTAGATAGGCTCTTTATTTAATTTAGCAGTAAGAATGTGCCATTCTAGATTTAACGTATCAAATTTAAGTAACAGCATTTAGCAAAAAAAAAAAAATTTAAACTAATTTCAATGTATTAGTCGATGTGTATTTGTGAAATAAAATAAACAAATCCTCGACTTAAAATGATGTGGAAGGTTTGATTTGGATTTCAGCTGTGAGCCTCCATGATGGGCTCTGTTATGGCTCTGTGGCAGCATGGTGGTCTGTTCTTAGACACACTGTGCCTCAGCTGAGCTTCATTCCACATCTCTACTGGGCAGAGGACAGAAACAGTGAAAGTTTTATAGACCATTTAAAAATTCTCAAGTATTAAAAATAAAAAGGAAAAGAAAAATGTAGGCAGATACAATGTAATTTATCTATTCATTTTGGCATAATATGAGTTGTGCATATTATTTGATCTGGTGAGTCAGTAAAATGTCATGAAACACTTCCAACCATTGTTAAGGTATTTTAATAAATCAAATTTTCTACCTTTTTTGTTTGTTTCTTTTACTACTTCACACAGTCATGTACACACCTAAATTCATATATTAAAAAAGCAAAACAGACTTTTCAAACTGGAAAGATTATTTTTTGTATTTTACTAATTTTATCCCTTTTTTTTCTTTTTCTTTTTTTTTTTTTTACAGGTACATGCCCAAAGCCAAATGTCAGAGCACTTAACAGATCAAAAAACATTGTTCTGGTAGAGTGTAAGGCTGATCGAGCTTTTCCAGAACCTGAGATAGAGCTGCAAAACAGCAACAACGAAACTATTCCTGAAAACAAGACAGAGTACTTTGACAATGGAACCATTATCCTCACTGCTGAAGTAACTAAAGAAGATTTCTACACTTGTGTTGTGAGGCAGCAACCACCGATCTGCCATGAAATTCGTTCAGATCCAAACTTGTTGGGAGTTCCTGGTGAGTTTTATTTTTACTTTCATTTCTGCTAGATCAGTGTGCTGTTCATTTGTATATAAACCCAATGCTTATTTAGAATGAAGTCCAGTCAAGTTTGTTTTGTACTGGATAAAGAGAGTAGTTTATTTAAAAGTGAAGAAAATTATATTGAGACTTCACAAATCTAATCTCTATGCTATAAAAAAAGAAATTGTGCTTTTATTTCCAGTTATGTCAGATTCGGTCCTCTATAAATTTCACTTTTGTGAGAATAAACATTGTACAGAACTTTATGAACATACTGTATAGTCGATCATAAGATATTTTATTTCTGGGTGTTTGAAAAGCATCAATTTCATGAACAAAATGTGTTAAAAAGTACTCCTCACTACTAAGACTAGAGTCAAAACTTTTTCTAACATAGGAAAATAGGTTTTATTTATTCAAGTGATTTTAAAACTTTTTTTTTTCTTCAGGGGCTTCAGGAGTTTTACAGTTGTCCTCTGGACTGCTGCTGCTGCCTTTATTCGGACTGTTGAAGGAGTTGTTCTCAGTGTGGCCTTAGCTGGGTGTTTGAGGTGAAATTAAATATTATAACATCTTCATTATTATATATTCTGTTTTTAAAGCTCAAGTCTGTTCTGACATCTTTATGTTTCTTTTCTTCAGGTTCTTCTCTGCTCACCTGTAGTTTAGTCCAACAGTTAGGTCAAGTCAAGCTGATCGTGTGTATGATTGGTTGATTAAAGTGTTCAATATTCAGTAATTATCCTGTAAAGAAAATTAGGGGTGGAGAACCCTACTGTTGAGATAATCAGAATGCAAATTAAACTTGTGATCAGTTGATGAGTTTTATTAGATTACCTTTGAAATTGTTCATAAAAAAGTATTTTCTGTGAGTTTGTTTGTTGACAACATTGATTTTCATTTAATTTTTTTTGTATTGATTGCTTAATGATCGATTCTGCTGGTTTTTTTTTTTTTGTTTTAAGTATAGTGACTGTTATTTTTCTTTAGTTGTTTAATCATTTATTTTATGTTTTGATTTCTTAATGATCAAATCTGTCTGTGTTTTAGTTTCATCTTATGTTATTGCAGAGGATCTATTTACGCACCGATTCACAGTTCAGAGAATTTAATGCACAACTTTCACTTCCTCTCTTGACTCTCAGATCTCTTGAACCATTGTAGTTTATTCTGGGAATGCAAACCAAAAACTAACTTTTCGTTTGTCTAAGTAAAAAGGCATCTCTGTCCTCTTTAAACCACTCAGACATGTTAAACTGTGAGCTGCACGGTGGAGCAAGTGGTCCTCATTACTGCCTCACAGGTTTGACTCTGCTGAGGCCTTCCTGTGTGCACGTGCTTCCTGTGCACGTGTACAGGAGCATCAAACTGCATAAAACATTACTTCATTTAGTGAAAATGTCTCAGAAATATTACCTGATTCAGTGCATTAAGTAGAGATCTAAATTCTTGCATCGGAAGGTTTCCTGCTGGAGATTGTCAGTGCAGAATTATTTTAGTAAAACAGGAGTCGTGGGAAATAAGAGGAACTTAGTATAAAACATTAATCTCTTAAGCTCCACACTCCCTGTATCAGAGGAAAATAGCATTTTCTCTTTTCTATTTCTAGTCAGATGTCACCCACCCTGTATTTGTGTGGGTGTTGTGCAGTGATGGATTTGTGTGTAGGCTGTCATAAACTACAGGTGCCTCTGAGGACATTTTCATGGTTCTGTTCAGTTTGCAATAACTTGGATAGGTTATGTGCTTCTTTCATTCAGAGCTAACAGAAACATTTCCCCTTTTCCGTTTTGCTTTAAAGCACGAGTTAGGCCTAATGTTTGTGCATCTTGATCGTCTGCCTTGAACGACTTTTAGAATTTGACTATGAATAATGAGGAAAAATCTGGCATTTACTGACCAAAATTTCACAGATTTAAATGCTAAATGGACTGAACTTATAGAACTTTATCAAACCCTTTATCTGCAACATTATCATTTTTATAAATGTGTTGATTAGGATGTTTATAACACAATGTACCACATTATTACATTATCTTAACTATCTTTACTTTCTAATTTCAGCTTCTGTTGGCTGCAATAAATACTGCACTTCTGACTCAAAGTGTCATGATTCTTGTTTTGTGGTTCTTTATGTTAAAATGTCCGGTCTGCAGTCACCCAGGTGTTTCCACTGCCCAATCCTCCTCAGTTGTATTTTACCATTATTCCAGTGGATCATTGCTCTGTTCTGCACCAAGCCTTGTTCTTGGTTTTCCTTAATGTTACTTTTAGTCTTTATGCAGCCACGTCAGCCTTTTTCAGCCAAACTGGTTGAATTCTTGTCATTTTATGTTTAATAAAGTCACTTTGCTGTGGCGGCCATCTTGAATATCACACATGGACAAAAACATCCCCTCTTTGTCTCCAGTGGTAAACAGTTATCTTCATGAATACTGACTCCTAAAGCAGCTGTATTTAGATGTTTGATCATTTTGAGTGAATTCACTAAAATACAGTTTATTATACAGTCTTTAGTTTTTCTATTAAAATCATGAATAACTTCTCAGAAGTTTATTGAAAATTTTCTGCTCGGTTTTAATTGAAGGGAACAAAGAGAGTAAAAAGAAATGTGAAAGAGCTCAGAGAGAAACAGAAGTAAAGAACCGTTGCAGGACAGGAAATAACAAGTGGTTTTTTGTTTCAGAGCTCAATTCTGAGAATTTCAGATAGAACACACTTCACACCTCCCGGGTGCAACCAGATCAGTTTTCTCAGTTTTTTTAGAGACTTTAATGCACAATTTTCACTTCCTCTCTTCACTCTCAGATCTTGGATTATAGGAAGTAAGAACTCTTGAACGTTTGTAGTTTATTCTGGTGTTACAAACTAAAAACTAACTTTTCTTTTGCTCAGTGGAAAGGCACCATCTCTGTCCTCTTTAAACCACTCAAACATGTTAAACTGTGAGCTGCACGGTGGAGCAAGTGCTCCTCATTACTGCCTCACAGGTTTGACTTTGCTGAGGCCTTCCTGTGTGCACGTTCAGCTGTGATGAAGAAATTTCCCCTTGAAAAAAAAAGATAAGGCAGTGGATGTGGTCTGTGCAAGATTAAAATCAGACANAGCTTGTGTTATTTAATAAATGTATTTGCACTTTAAACCCATAGAAATATGTTTTATTATTGAGCAATTATATTTATATTAATTCAAGTTGTATGTTTAATTTCAGTCTCCAACAAACATAAATTATTTTTTAAATGATTCAGTGAAACTGAACTGCTGTTTTGCTGTTTTTGCCCAACTTTTTAATTTTTTAAACACGGCCTTTGTGTCATAGTGGTGCACATTAACTTGAAAATCACAGGGTGACTTACTAATTCTGTCTATATTATTAGCATTAATTTTTAATTTGATAGAATGAAGCATCTCTTAGATTTACCTTAATCTGCAACACAAATCATTTCCAGCAGGCGGCCATGAGGCTCAGTAAAAGCCTCCAAAAATTAAATTAACCGTGATAAATCTTAATCAAAGTATTTAAAAGTGTGCATTTTTCACGAATTTTTTTCYAAATCTGTTCTAAAATTTTATTTTAAAAATATCAATTTGTTTTCATCAAACTGATACAGTTGACAGATAGGTTTGTTTTATTTGTTTTATAACCGAGAACATGAACTTCCGGTAGTGATAAAAACAGGTATTTTCATCGGCATCAGGCTGATGGAAAATTGAGGTGTTTCCATGAAGCTGGCTTCCTATTGGACGGAACCAGCTGTCAATAAAGTAGAAACGTGTCTCAGGTGAAGATGCTCTCCTCTGATTGGCTGACTCTGATAAAAGTTCTCTAAAGTTGTTTTATCAGACTGAATAAAGACGCTGATTGGTTTGTTTTCTTCCTGGGTGTTTACAGTTTCCAGAAATACCGAACATCATTGGTCAAACCTCTTGTTGATAACTTAAAATTGACGGAAAATTTGTTGTTTTGAACTTTTTGTCCCTGCTGTGAAGGAAACAAGGGACCTAATCAACTTTATTTCAGGTAAATTTAAATTCTAACTAAATTTTAACAAACTCAGCATTTTTGTCTGAGATAACGCGTTAAAACGAAAAATTATCCTTTCAGTCCAAATCATTTTTGAATCATGGCGAGACACGTTGGCACGCAACTTAGCTACTAAATATTTAGGTCTGGAATAAAACAGGCTAATCAGATTAATTTGTTGTAGCTACATCTTTCACTCAAATTTACGAGTTCTTTACAAATAACCCTTTAGCTTCCAAACGACGTTTAATATGTGTTAGCGACAGTTTATGATCGTCACAAAACACTTGAATTGTATTTAGTGGTGTTTACAATAAAATATCGGGTCGCATCCAACCTCCGTGTTTTATAAGGTTAAAGGACAGAACAAGCGATAAAATCAATGGTGAGTATTACTGACGTCACCCATAATCACATGCATGCGCAGTTTATAACCTCTAAAAAATGTTTAAACTACCATCCATTCATCTAAACATTTAATAGTTTTTAAAAATGTAGATCACAGTTTCTCCAAGGTCTGGACTGTGGGACAAATAAACTCAAAATGTTAAAAATTTTAAATAAAACGATTGTGACCTATTTTCCCATAATGGTTAGAAAAAAACACTTCTGTTAAATTGTAATTTAAATTTGACTCCATTTATGTCATTATGCTCTTTTTTATTAGTTGTTTTTCTGTTTTTGTATAATTTATAAAAACCATGAGGTCAATAGTTTTTCTGTGTTATCATGTAGGTCAAAGATGAAAAGTTTGGGAAACACTGTTGTAGATAGGCTCTTTATTTAATTTAGCAGTAAGAATGTGCCATTCTAGATTTAACGTATCAAATTTAAGTAACAGCATTTAGCAAAAAAAAAAAAATTTAAACTAATTTCAATGTATTAGTCGATGTGTATTTGTGAAATAAAATAAACAAATCCTCGACTTAAAATGATGTGGAAGGTTTGATTTGGATTTCAGCTGTGAGCCTCCATGATGGGCTCTGTTATGGCTCTGTGGCAGCATGGTGGTCTGTTCTTAGACACACTGTGCCTCAGCTGAGCTTCATTCCACATCTCTACTGGGCAGAGGACAGAAACAGTGAAAGTTTTATAGACCATTTAAAAATTCTCAAGTATTAAAAATAAAAAGGAAAAGAAAAATGTAGGCAGATACAATGTAATTTATCTATTCATTTTGGCATAATATGAGTTGTGCATATTATTTGATCTGGTGAGTCAGTAAAATGTCATGAAACACTTCCAACCATTGTTAAGGTATTTTAATAAATCAAATTTTCTACCTTTTTTGTTTGTTTCTTTTACTACTTCACACAGTCATGTACACACCTAAATTCATATATTAAAAAAGCAAAACAGACTTTTCAAACTGGAAAGATTATTTTTTGTATTTTACTAATTTTATCCCTTTTTTTTCTTTTTCTTTTTTTTTTTTTTACAGGTACATGCCCAAAGCCAAATGTCAGAGCACTTAACAGATCAAAAAACATTGTTCTGGTAGAGTGTAAGGCTGATCGAGCTTTTCCAGAACCTGAGATAGAGCTGCAAAACAGCAACAACGAAACTATTCCTGAAAACAAGACAGAGTACTTTGACAATGGAACCATTATCCTCACTGCTGAAGTAACTAAAGAAGATTTCTACACTTGTGTTGTGAGGCAGCAACCACCGATCTGCCATGAAATTCGTTCAGATCCAAACTTGTTGGGAGTTCCTGGTGAGTTTTATTTTTACTTTCATTTCTGCTAGATCAGTGTGCTGTTCATTTGTATATAAACCCAATGCTTATTTAGAATGAAGTCCAGTCAAGTTTGTTTTGTACTGGATAAAGAGAGTAGTTTATTTAAAAGTGAAGAAAATTATATTGAGACTTCACAAATCTAATCTCTATGCTATAAAAAAAGAAATTGTGCTTTTATTTCCAGTTATGTCAGATTCGGTCCTCTATAAATTTCACTTTTGTGAGAATAAACATTGTACAGAACTTTATGAACATACTGTATAGTCGATCATAAGATATTTTATTTCTGGGTGTTTGAAAAGCATCAATTTCATGAACAAAATGTGTTAAAAAGTACTCCTCACTACTAAGACTAGAGTCAAAACTTTTTCTAACATAGGAAAATAGGTTTTATTTATTCAAGTGATTTTAAAACTTTTTTTTTTCTTCAGGGGCTTCAGGAGTTTTACAGTTGTCCTCTGGACTGCTGCTGCTGCCTTTATTCGGACTGTTGAAGGAGTTGTTCTCAGTGTGGCCTTAGCTGGGTGTTTGAGGTGAAATTAAATATTATAACATCTTCATTATTATATATTCTGTTTTTAAAGCTCAAGTCTGTTCTGACATCTTTATGTTTCTTTTCTTCAGGTTCTTCTCTGCTCACCTGTAGTTTAGTCCAACAGTTAGGTCAAGTCAAGCTGATCGTGTGTATGATTGGTTGATTAAAGTGTTCAATATTCAGTAATTATCCTGTAAAGAAAATTAGGGGTGGAGAACCCTACTGTTGAGATAATCAGAATGCAAATTAAACTTGTGATCAGTTGATGAGTTTTATTAGATTACCTTTGAAATTGTTCATAAAAAAGTATTTTCTGTGAGTTTGTTTGTTGACAACATTGATTTTCATTTAATTTTTTTTGTATTGATTGCTTAATGATCGATTCTGCTGGTTTTTTTTTTTTTGTTTTAAGTATAGTGACTGTTATTTTTCTTTAGTTGTTTAATCATTTATTTTATGTTTTGATTTCTTAATGATCAAATCTGTCTGTGTTTTAGTTTCATCTTATGTTATTGCAGAGGATCTATTTACGCACCGATTCACAGTTCAGAGAATTTAATGCACAACTTTCACTTCCTCTCTTGACTCTCAGATCTCTTGAACCATTGTAGTTTATTCTGGGAATGCAAACCAAAAACTAACTTTTCGTTTGTCTAAGTAAAAAGGCATCTCTGTCCTCTTTAAACCACTCAGACATGTTAAACTGTGAGCTGCACGGTGGAGCAAGTGGTCCTCATTACTGCCTCACAGGTTTGACTCTGCTGAGGCCTTCCTGTGTGCACGTGCTTCCTGTGCACGTGTACAGGAGCATCAAACTGCATAAAACATTACTTCATTTAGTGAAAATGTCTCAGAAATATTACCTGATTCAGTGCATTAAGTAGAGATCTAAATTCTTGCATCGGAAGGTTTCCTGCTGGAGATTGTCAGTGCAGAATTATTTTAGTAAAACAGGAGTCGTGGGAAATAAGAGGAACTTAGTATAAAACATTAATCTCTTAAGCTCCACACTCCCTGTATCAGAGGAAAATAGCATTTTCTCTTTTCTATTTCTAGTCAGATGTCACCCACCCTGTATTTGTGTGGGTGTTGTGCAGTGATGGATTTGTGTGTAGGCTGTCATAAACTACAGGTGCCTCTGAGGACATTTTCATGGTTCTGTTCAGTTTGCAATAACTTGGATAGGTTATGTGCTTCTTTCATTCAGAGCTAACAGAAACATTTCCCCTTTTCCGTTTTGCTTTAAAGCACGAGTTAGGCCTAATGTTTGTGCATCTTGATCGTCTGCCTTGAACGACTTTTAGAATTTGACTATGAATAATGAGGAAAAATCTGGCATTTACTGACCAAAATTTCACAGATTTAAATGCTAAATGGACTGAACTTATAGAACTTTATCAAACCCTTTATCTGCAACATTATCATTTTTATAAATGTGTTGATTAGGATGTTTATAACACAATGTACCACATTATTACATTATCTTAACTATCTTTACTTTCTAATTTCAGCTTCTGTTGGCTGCAATAAATACTGCACTTCTGACTCAAAGTGTCATGATTCTTGTTTTGTGGTTCTTTATGTTAAAATGTCCGGTCTGCAGTCACCCAGGTGTTTCCACTGCCCAATCCTCCTCAGTTGTATTTTACCATTATTCCAGTGGATCATTGCTCTGTTCTGCACCAAGCCTTGTTCTTGGTTTTCCTTAATGTTACTTTTAGTCTTTATGCAGCCACGTCAGCCTTTTTCAGCCAAACTGGTTGAATTCTTGTCATTTTATGTTTAATAAAGTCACTTTGCTGTGGCGGCCATCTTGAATATCACACATGGACAAAAACATCCCCTCTTTGTCTCCAGTGGTAAACAGTTATCTTCATGAATACTGACTCCTAAAGCAGCTGTATTTAGATGTTTGATCATTTTGAGTGAATTCACTAAAATACAGTTTATTATACAGTCTTTAGTTTTTCTATTAAAATCATGAATAACTTCTCAGAAGTTTATTGAAAATTTTCTGCTCGGTTTTAATTGAAGGGAACAAAGAGAGTAAAAAGAAATGTGAAAGAGCTCAGAGAGAAACAGAAGTAAAGAACCGTTGCAGGACAGGAAATAACAAGTGGTTTTTTGTTTCAGAGCTCAATTCTGAGAATTTCAGATAGAACACACTTCACACCTCCCGGGTGCAACCAGATCAGTTTTCTCAGTTTTTTTAGAGACTTTAATGCACAATTTTCACTTCCTCTCTTCACTCTCAGATCTTGGATTATAGGAAGTAAGAACTCTTGAACGTTTGTAGTTTATTCTGGTGTTACAAACTAAAAACTAACTTTTCTTTTGCTCAGTGGAAAGGCACCATCTCTGTCCTCTTTAAACCACTCAAACATGTTAAACTGTGAGCTGCACGGTGGAGCAAGTGCTCCTCATTACTGCCTCACAGGTTTGACTTTGCTGAGGCCTTCCTGTGTGCACGTTCAGCTGTGATGAAGAAATTTCCCCTTGAAAAAAAAAGATAAGGCAGTGGATGTGGTCTGTGCAAGATTAAAATCAGACACCACTCTCAGCAGCAGAACCACACTTTCCACAGAACAAGTGTGTCAACTCCTCAAACTG